CCCGATAGAATGGTGGAGGAGTAAGTCACGGTGACTTAGTCGACCCAATAATGGTAGGCCTTATACCCGTGTGCACCAGAGGTCCAGCCTAGTATGTAGGAGCTGTAACCTCCACACAGGGGCGGAACCAGGGGGTGCGAGCCGGTGGTGCCGCCACCCCTTCGCCGGAGTTTTTTGAGTATTAGTATAGGGTATTTAGTCTTCTGCCCCTGTAGTCTTCTGCGCCCGAGGCTCCGATTCAGCGAACAAGGAGATAGAAGACTTCCAGGCTGTATTTTTTTAATTCAACTAATCTGCCAAACGACGTCGTTTGTCTAAGTGCACAGGAATAAACAAAACGACGTCGTTTTTTACCCAATCTGATAAACCCGTTTTCACACTGCATCCTCACCGCATAAGCGCATAGCGGCATATAGGATAGAGCACACTCGCCTCGCAAGAATGCAAGATTGCCCCTTCGTCCTCAATCGCCGGCTCTCCGTCCCTAGAATCTATACTCTCCGTCGCAGTTGCTTGATTCTCCGCCGGCCGCCCTAGCTTGATTCTCAAGATTCGAAGTGAGTCAAGGCTGTCAAGCAGTGAAGTGACGAAGTCCGTTCGGTAAATACTCTGAACTCGGAAGCGGTGAAGCCAGTTGCCTATATTCAACAGTTCGGTACTTTGGTCTCTCGTAAATGCTTTCAAAATTGAAATCTTTTTAATTATTATAATTGCTTATTTGCTAATTGCTTTAATTACTTTTTTAATCTAAATTGAATTGATTAATCACTGGACAGTTTGAATTCTTTTGTAATTTTATTGATTAATTACTTTAATTTCTTTAAAGTTTAATTGATTAATTGCTTGAATTGATATGAAGTTGAAATTGTTTGTACATTTTTTTAGATTAATTACTTTCATTGCTTTACTTGCTTTGAATTTTAATTGATTAATTGCTTTATCTCTAAGAATTTAAAGTTGAAAATATTTTTAACTTGTTAGGTTACTCATGTAATCATGTTTATTTTACAATTTGTAACACGAGGCACTGAATCTTCTAGACGAGATAAAAAAGAAAGTAATAGAGAAAAACATCCTCGTGTAGAATGTGATCCAAAAATTTTATATTCTCTAAACCTTTATAACGATTTGTTTTTGCATTGTACGCTACTTTTAGCCACCCCTTACTTTTTGTTCTGGTTCCGCCTCTGCCTCCACACGACCGTTACGGGTTTCGATCCTTGATCATTGTTCCAAATTTCTCACCATTTAACCAACTTAGCTATCCGTGCAGGTAAAACATCATTTTAAAAAGATTTTTCCTTTTTCAATTGAAGGAGCTGGGAGCACCCGCCAAACCGTTCGTTGAAAAAAATTGAGAAGAATTAACATAGCATGGGGTGTGTAATTTTTTTCTTCTCAAATTCATTGAATTGTTTATGTAAATATCCTACTCCGTATAATAATTGTCAAAAGTTAAATTTGACTATAACAGTTTATGTCATGAATAATGTGTATATACACTTTAAATTTGATATTTTCACTGATATTCTAGCTGATGAGTATCATCGACACACGATTTAAAGTACATTCAATTTATACCTTGATAGGAAGCTACATTTTCGATCTTGCAAGTAGTACTCCCTCCGCGCGTCCCCTATAGCTTCGTCAAAATTGACTGACATATAGAATAAGAAATTAAAGTAAAATTGAGTAATTGAGATTTTTGCAGAGAAGAAAGAATTAACAGGAACTACAAATTCTTTATTTAAAAAAAGAAAATGACAAAATTAGTTAGTCAAGTTTGCAAAGTTATATGGAACACAAAGAGTAATATTTTAGAAAAATCATAGTGATTCTCATCAAGACTTTATGTATTTGTTTTGTACTCTGAAATATCTCGTTTCGTTCACAAATAGGATATGGAGTATTAATATAAAGATTTTTAGATTGTGAAATCAAAATTCATCAAACAATTAAAGAATCACCATTGATCATACACCATTCATTGAAAGAAAATTTGTAAAACTATTACTTAAGAACGAAATGCAATTTAGTTTCCAGTTTGTAGGTGTGTGTTTTGTAATGTGTTATACATTTAAAAAAAATCATTAACAATAACGGTTTAATGAAACAAAAATGTATTTAAAGATACACACGTCTTTATCATAATAGATGTTTTCAAGTACGTAGTATTACCCCCGTCCCACTAAGATTGAGACTAGGGGTGGACTCGGACCGGGCGGCCCGGTACCCGGGCTTGGAGCCGGTTCGGGCCAACCGGAACCGCTCAGTTCCCGGTGCGGGCTCGGGTCCCCTAAAACGCGAACCGGCCCGGCCGGTCCGGGCCCGGTTCAGTCCTAATCTTTTTTTTTTGTTTTTTCATTTTTTTTATTTTACCCGGTTGGGTTGGGTGTTTTGGGGGGGTGAAGGGGGGGGGGGGGTCAGGGGTTGCAAAAAAAAAAAAAGCCCGAACCGGAACCGGCTCGGTTTGGGTCCGGCCCGACCCGAAACCGCCGGCTACCCGGGCCGGTTCTGGTTCCACCTTTCCCAAATAAAAGCCTGTCCGGGCTCAGGACCGAACCGGAACGTACCGTCCCGGGTCCACCCCTAATTGAGACAAAAGAAAGTGGCACGATTATTAAAAAAACTAGTTTGTGTGGTTGATATTAAATTAATAAAGTAAGAATGATTTATAGTCACACAAATTTTACTAAATTTGGTATGAGACAATCTTCGTGGGATTTCCCGAAAAAGTAAAATGAAACAATCTTAGCAGGACGGAGAGAGTAATTTTTAACCAATAATAACCCAATCACTATTCCACATACTAGATGCACATATACTTTTTCTCGAATCGTTATCTTTTTCACAAATCTCCATATTTTTAAATTTACATTTCCCTTACATACGGAGTATATGTCAACTACATACATTACACACGTTATTATTTCATTTATTTAGAAACGCAATAATTGTTGTTATCGCCTACGTATGTATATGTTTCACATTTTTACTTACCATCAATAATCTTACTGATTAGAGAAAACTATCAAATAACTTTCGTACTTTATTGAAAATGGTAATTAAGCCCCTATACTTTAAAATCATTCACTAATTAAAACCCTCCAGCTTGTAAAAAATCAAATATTGTATGCTATTTAGGGTATTCTCATGTTTTCTGGTCATTCAATTATGCGCTTGCCGTGTCTTCTTTTACACTCACTCCATTGGTTTTCGGGTTTTGGTTCGATTTTTCTGACCCTTATGTGAAAGGATGAGGAGGTTTTATAACTCTTCCTTTCTTATTTGAGAGTTTAAAAAATTTGGAGAAATATTTAGTGGGATTCTTGTGATCCTCCAAAACCTTTTACATGCTCAATTTTTTACTTTCTCAAATTTCAATAGACAACTTAACAAAATGATAATTTTAGCTCAACTTACAATGTACTCCCTCCGTCCCTGAAAGAATGTCCTACTTTCCCAAAATGGAAGTCCCTAAATTAAAGTCCAACTTCTTTAACTTCCTTATTTGGTAAACAAATCTATATCAAACAATGCAAAACATTGTAAAAACAGTGTCAAACATTGCCAAACAGTGACGCTACAATGTGAAGTCAAAATTACTTTCTTAATATGTGTGAAATCAAACTAGGACATTCTTTAAGGACGAAAGTAGTATATAAGTTCAACTATATAAAAATTCATCATATCTCTTTGGATTATAATTATAATTCTTCTAGTCACTTTTCAGATTTATAACTCTCAAACAAGAAAGAAAGTTTTCTTCACTCCTCCCTCCTTCCCTTCAAATGACTAACCTTGAAAGCCTTCCACCATCCTCCCCTCTAAACATACCTTTAGAAGTAAGATTGTTGTCAACACTTATGTAACTTGTTTTTGTTCGGGTGTACTTTCTGAGTAAGAGGGCGATGTTAGAATGTAGCCATGTAGGTGAGCTGGAGTGAGCTCTATGAGTCTATGTTATACGGATGACTGCATGTGACAGAAAAATTGGAGCCCATAGAATTATTCAAAACAGGATCTCTAAAAATCTTGGTTTTCTAGTCCGTACTCTGTCAATGTCATGAACGAGTAGTTATGTAAAATTGGTAAACTTTGCATGAAGAAATTAGGTATCGACAAGGAATTGCTGTGTGGGTAAAGCCGTAAAGGGTTATTCATTTCTCTGGACTCTGGATGCTTTATTTATAGATACAGGAACCCACAATTCAGATTCCATTGGTCAGAGTTAATGGGATGATATGACTAAACCTCCTGAAATTCTACAAATGTAAAATATTTGTTTCAACCAAATAGATTAATTAAAAGCCACTGGATTTGCTTATTCCATTGACAATCAAGACTAAGTACCAGCCTTCATGATTATAAAAAAACACACACCCCTTAAGATAAAAACAAAAACAATGTGAAATTAAAAAATAAGAGTAATTTTTGTCATTCTAGAAAAACTCTATGAATTATAACATGAATATTTTCATATTAATCCTTTAGTGTAAAAAATGTCTGGGCTCATATTTAGGAAAAAGGACACAATACTTCCATTTTGGACTTTTATAGCATAAGCACAACAATTTAATGGTAACATTTTGAGAAGTTACTCTAAATAGAAGTAAAACATTCGTAAATTTCAAAATATGATTGTCATGTTTTTCTTTCCGAAATACGAATCGTCAGTGCAATGATTGAAAAATACTCTGTATTATCATTAATGACTGTAAATTTTATCATGTTAATGCCTAGTTCTACAATATGATGACAATAATAACTCCAAGATGACAGTAAATACTCTGGTCACTCTTATTTCAGGAAAAAACATAAGTCATATTTTGAAATTCTAAAACTTGTTTACTTCTATTTTGAGAACTAATAACATTTTTACCCTTATTTTGGATTTTTGCTCACAGATTCGGAAACTGATCACTGAATTGGTGCAGCTCTCAGCATCCATACCAATTAATGCTTCCATATTTCCTGCAAACAAACAAAAAAAAGAAAAAGACAACACACAAAACTAAAGCATTTAATACAAGATCAACTATTCAGTACGAAATCCCTATTACAGATTTGCGATGAAAAGGAGCCAGAAGGAAAAGAGTCAAAAGTCTCCTTGTGCTTCCCAATGTATCAAGATTTCCACATTGCTTAAAAGTTAAAACGTACTCCGTAATAATAAGCTAAAGAGGACAACGAATTGCCTATATATAATTCCAAGTACAAGCTTGCACCTAGTAGTAGCTATTTATACATAATTTGACATATATTATAGATATATTATTGATGAGATGGTTGGAAAGGTTCAACTTCGTTCAACCAGACAACCAGCAAGACTCCATTCCCATTCATGAACCATGATTCACGAAGGCAATATGTAGCTTTGGCTTGTCTCCCCTAGGACTCCACTAGCTCCAATCGAATATGTGTGCCCATTAACTTGTAGTTCCAGAACCAGGTTCCACAATCCATTGATCTACTCTCGATGGCATTTAGTTGAACTTCTAGACCTGAAGGCAATTTCCAAAAATCAATTAGTAATCCAATTCTACTATTTCTGCAGAAAGTCTTTCTGCTCTAACCAGTATCCTAAAGATTTAAATCTAACAAAGAATTACTCCTATCCCCTTGTTACCTTCCTACTACTTTCTCTTTTTCGATATCCTTAAACATTTTCCTTTTCTAAGTACATATATGTGGCTTATATTCTTCTATTTCTTTCGACATAAATCTCAACCACATAACTTGATAGGATCTTCCAATTATCCAGAACAATTAACAGGAAATTAACAAGAAACAACTGAAATTTGTATTGATGAAGAAGATCGGTTACAGTAACAAGGCCGAAGCCCCCAGATGAGCCGAAGCCCCCCAAAGAGAGATATAATTCTCAATCTTCCCAGTCCCAAGACGTAAGTCCAAAAGCCTCCTTATGCCTTCCTCTTTCTATTTATAGTATAAGCCCTCTTATTATTCTCTATAATAATAGGCCCAAAATAACAGGCCCACTAAACAATATCTATTCTTCTAGTATTCATATTAGAATTATTATCTATTATTAATCTAATAGGTAGATCCCTATCAATACTCCCTCCCTAAACATCCACCTTGCCCTCAAGGTGGGCGGTAAGAGACAGCATAGTCACATGGTTCGCGGTACGATTCGATACGGGAACGAGGAACGGGAACGCGGTACGCTAGATCTAGCGTATCCGATACGAAGGGGGGTAGGTTCATTTCGGTACGCGTTCGGTACGATGTACCATATGTTCGGTACGTTGTACCTTATATTTTGGTACTATAATAAAACTATAAAACTGAATTATAGAATACAGATTTCAACATTGAACAAAAACAAATTTCATAACATGATTTCATAACATTAAGCAAAAGCAAAAACATTAATATTCAAAAACATTTCAAGCAAAACAGAAAAATATTACTACAATCATTGATTTAAAGTTCAAATTCAAATAAAAAAGTACATGTCTAATCAACTCGAGGTCTCTTTCCTCTCCCCTTGTCCTCGTCTTCATCTTCAAGATTCTCCCAAGCCATGTCTTCGAGTCTTGAACTTGAGCCTTCTATGTATGTGCTCTCGGGATTGATGTCCCAATATTTGTGTGGACCGGCTTTATATGACTCTGAAAAGCGTGACTGGAGTCGAATGTTGGAGTGAATGAAGACCAATTTGTCGGCTCTTTTGCAATTCAACCGGTTTCTCTTCACACTGTGAATGTAAGAATATGTACTCCAATTTCTTTCGGCCGAAGAGCTGCTAATCGGTTGTGAAAGCACCTTCTTTGCTACTTCGGCTAATTCCGGTGTTTCGGCTCCATAGGTTGACCACCAATCAATTGCATCCATTGTCACAGAATCCGCTTGTGTTGCCACCATTGAATAGATCCCCTTCTTCATATGGAATGTAGCAAATTGCTCTCGTAATAGCCTTTCCTCTTCGGGACTTTCTGCAATTCTTTTGAAAGCTTCCATAACACCAACCACGACCTCTTTATCATGATTCGGTGCTTTTCTTGCAATACCACCCGGAGCCAATTTTTCAAGATAGAATTGTCATCTTCTCCCATCTAGCTACAATTATTTTCTTAATATCCGGGTAATAGCAAGAATATACATTATCCACCATAATGTCCTTTATCTCCCCCAACATATTATCCATTCTTTCATATATTTCACCCATTTTTGGACCATCACCATCACAAAACTTGATAAGTAGAAAAATAGGCTTAGTAATTTTCAAAACATTCCTCACATCATCCCAAAACTCATCACTCTTAATGGTTTCAGCAACATTAGCACCATTAATTCTTGCATTTTCATCTCCAGTTCTCACCCATTCCCTCCAAGAATTGCAAAAAATAGTTGAGGCAAGAGCCTCTCTACAATCCATCACCCTTTTTAGCAAAATGTAATGCGATGCAAACCGGGTTTTTGCAACCTTTAGCAACTCTAACTTTGAGTTTTCACGAAAGATAGCTAAAGCATGGGTATGGTTAATAAAATACTTAACTATATCCTTGCCTTTTCTATACGTATTCCGTAACCATTGGAGTTCTTTTGCCATGTCTTTGAAAATTAAATTCAAAGTGTGTACGCAACATGGAGACCAAAAGATATGCTTGTGTACCTTCTCAATCTCTCGCCCGGCTGCCTTACAATTAGCTGCATTATCGGTGACAACTTGCAGCACATTACTTGGTCCAACCGTGTCAATACCTCCAAGAAGAAATTTAGAAATCTCTAGTCCAGATTTCTCAACCCCAGAAAAATCTTCCGCGTACATGAACATCGCACCACGGGAATTCACCGCTAAAACATTGATAAGTGGCCTATGCTTCACGTTAGACCACCCATCCGAGACAATTGACACCCCTTGAGTGTACCACGTGTCTTTCACCACCGTTAGATCCTTCTCAACGTCCCTAACGCATTCGTCGAGCAACACCGTTCTCGCCTTTTCACTAGAAGGAGGTTTGTATCCTTCCGGTGCCTTTTTGATAGCATTCACCATTTCAATAAATTGCGGGTTGCGTAAGACGTTGAATGGAATCCCATTTGCACACAAGCCCCTAATGATCTTTAAGTCAACTGCGTTTCTCTCCAATAGCCCAAAAGACTCTTCCAAACGTTTCTTTGATGACACATTTCTGGACAGCAGTGAATTCTTCAACGATTTTGCAACGTCACCAGCCTCAGCTTCTTTTACTTTGTTCCAAAGACTTTCATGCTTCTGCCTATCTTTGAGGAGTGCAGGACACCTTTTGATTTCTGCCTTTTTCCCTGCTGCAGGCCCAAAAAAATGAACATGAATTCTTGTATAAGAACTGGTGTACTTCCCCTTGCAGTGTTTGCAAACCCACTGCTTTGCACCTCCTGCGTTTTTACTTTCACCCGTGCCAAGGAAAGTAACTTCATCGAGCAGTGGTTTGGCTTTGGCATTTGCATCCTTAGTTTGCGTAGCAGGTACAGCAGCAGCTTGTTCACTTTCTTGAGTTTCTGGAAGAACATACTCTTCTGTGTCACTGTCCACTAAATTATAAGTGGCTGGAGACTCTGCTCTAGAAGATGAACCAGACCCAAAAACCATTTTAAGAATTTAGAGTATAAGTGAGAAGAGAATGGAGAGTAGAAAGCCAAGTGAGGAGTGCTGGACGATGAGAGTTGGAACAATTTCCACCCCATTATATAGGCTGGAGTGCTGGACGTAGAACAAAGTGAAGAGTAGAAGAGGAAGACTGAAGCGTGAATTCGTTCTGCAGAAATCGAAGAGAACGCGTCTGAAGTCTGAACGACGATTCAGAAACGGCGATTCAATTTTCAAAGCACAATAAACGACGAGCCTGAACGACGCTCTGGTACAGAGTTCGCGATTTAGGGCGATCCCTTTTGGTGTTGCGATCGACATCAGGTACGTTTGCGCACGTCTTGTTTAGCGATGCGGAACGATCCGACCGGCGATTAGGATCGTTTGGCCAAGCGATCCGACCTGCGATCCCACCTGCGTCTGGTACGCGTTCGTACCGCGTTTGGGTACGTGACGTTCAGATCGTAGATCGCGGTTATCCCAGCGATTTATGTTTCTATGAGAGACAGCCAAGATCTTTTGCTTCTTCCTCTTCCTTGCGCTTCTACCTTCCCAATATCTAACTGATTTCTGACAAAAGAGCTTCCACACTTGATTATTCCAATTCATAGGTGTTACCACAGCATATAATATCTCTGATGAATTTTCAGTTTCTTCCTTAGTCTTCAGGCTTTCAATAGCCACAATTATCTCCTTATCTTCCTGAGGTGTACCACTTACACCATTTGCAGAACTTATGTACCTGCCCTGAACCTCTTTGCCAATGTGATGCAACAATGAAACCAAGCAACATTTATTGTCTGAGAATTCAGAGTCAACTCCTTCAACACTATATTCAGCGTCTGATCTGATCTCCTTCCATGGTCCTTCAGTTTCTTCCATCGGCTCCAAGCTAGACAACTGCCCTTCATGATACAATAGATATCCATCATCATTCTGTTGTAATATGTGAGTCAATGTGTTCAGTTCTACCTCCATCTGATTTAAGGCAGTATTCCCTTTAATGACGCAATTCTTTTCTTGTTGCCTCCACTTTAAGATTTGCTCCTTAAAGTTAACCTCCATGTCTCCCAATCCAGTTAGCCAGTCCATTCCCAGCACTACATCAGTGCCTCCCAGCTGTAGCAGGTAGTAAGTCTGCAGAATATCTATGCCTTGAACCTTCATCTTTACCATATTACATCTGCCCGCATTGGTAATGCATTTACCATTCCCAATTTGAACCTTATACCCCTGTATAGGCTGAAAAGGAATGTTGTATTCTTCCACTAATTTCTGTGATAAAAAATTGTGTGAAGCTCCAGTATCAATGAGGATATTCACCATCCTTTCTCCTCCAGGCCAGCTCATTTTGCCTTTAACCTTAAAAGTTTTTATAGATGATATGCCCTCCTTACTCAAAATGGACAGCTGCATAGTTTTATGTTCCATGTGAGTAGCCTTGTCCCCCTCAGAACTACCAGAGTCTTCCTCAGAATTTTCTTCACCTTCAGACTGTTCCACCATAACCATTTTGTAGTTTTTCATCTTACATATATGTTCTCTTCCCCATTTATCACCACATTTGAAACAAAGCCCCTTTTTGCTCCTCTCCATTAACTCTTCTTGAGATAATCTTGGGCCACTTCTCTTATTCTGTTCTCCTTCCTCTTTGTTGATGTTGATATCCTCAGTCCTCTTGGATACCATCCCAGGATTGCCCTTGTAAGTTTTCCAATTCCTGTCATCTCCCCAACACTGAATTTTGTTCTATGATTTCTTCCTCCCTTCTTCCTTGTTCCTTACAATCAAGGCTTCCAGATTCTTGTTGTCAATTAAAGTAGCTGTATCCATTACTGCTGCCAAGGACTTTGCAGAATATAACTTCAATTCAGCTCGGATATCTCTCCTTAATCCCTTCATAAAAATCCCTCTCAGGACTTCTTCAGTGAGGTGTCCTTGAAAAGCTATGGCTGTTTCAAATTGATCTCTGTACTCTTGTACTGTCCTCTTCTGTTTTAAACTTAATAAAGGTCCTAACGGATCCTGCACCAAATCAGGTTGAAAACGCTTCGCCAGAGCTTTTGTGAAAGTCTTCTAGTTTTGACGTTGAGCTTGTCCCTCCCACCATTGGAACCAACTCAGCGATTGGTCTTCCATAGCCACCACCGCAACATCAATTTTGTCCTCCTCATCAGTACGGTTCAACCGGAAGTATCGGTTCATCCTCACCAGCCAACCGAACACGTCCTTTCCATTAAAAAGAGGTAGATCGATCTTCCTTCCAACCGGATGTTGCCTCCTGTGAATCCAGTGTGGATCGCGATGGCTGTTCGATTTAGAGTGTTCGGAATGATGATCTGAATCATCTGAGTGATGGCTGTTCTTCCTGTGTTGATGACGAGTGCTGTGATGCGAGGTAGTTGTTCGATGCGAAGTACTGGATCGATGCGATCGATGCAATTGGCTCCTCGATCGTTCCGATCGATTCACCTGCAACCTTGCGATGTCAGTTTGCATCGCTGCCAATCTCTCCAGCAAAGTGTTTTGCATTTCCTGCAAATGTCGTTCAGTCCTCGCTTCCATCTCTCTCTGATTCCGTTCAACGTCGTTAATTCTTCCCTCCATTTTCACGTGCGTGTATCTCATCCAGCGATCGAACACGCTCTGATACCAATGATAGGATCTTCCAATTATCCAGAACAATTAACAGGAAAATAACAATAAACAAATGAAATTTGTATTGATGAAGAAGATTGGTTACAGTAACAAGGCCGAAGCCCCCCAAAGAGAGAGAAATAATTCTCAATCTTCCCAGTCCCAAGACCTAAGTCCAAAAGCCTCCTTATGCCTTCCTTCCTCTTTCTATTTATAGTATAAGCCCTCTTATTATTCTCTACAATAATAGGCCCAAAATAACAGGCCCACTAAACCGTATCTATTCTTCTAGTATTCATATTAGAATTATTATCTATTATTAATCTAATAGGTAGATCCCTATCATAACTTAAATTTCCTTAAACTATGTGTGAAGCCAAACCCGAAATATTTGAGGGGAAGGGATGGAGTAATTCACAATAAAGTCAAAACAGAACTTTATTTCACATTTAGGATGTTTTTACTTGGACTGTAATTTGCTGGTCTGGTTTGGTTTGGTCTGATTTGGTCTGGTCTGGTCTGAACTGGTCTGGTCTGGTCTGGTAAGGTCTGGTTTCTTTGTATTTTTATAACTATCCAAGTCTGGTCTGGTCTGGTCTGGTCTGAACTGGTCTGGTCTGGTCTGGACTGGTCTAGTCTGGTCTGGGACAAATTACAGTCCAAGTAAAAACATCCTTAAAACATCTTGTTTGAATATTTGCAAGAAAAGACCATATGCTTACAAGGTGGCAATAGGAAACCCACAGATCATGGTCAAATAACATGAATGTGGGTAGATTATCAAATTGCTGAGTATAATTAGCAAACAACAGATATGAATACAATAGGTCGTGTTGAAATCAGTGTTGTCAATCCCAGATAGCGGAGCGGAGCGGCCAGCCCCAAAAATGCTATAGCGGTATAGCGGATAGCGGGATGACCGCTATTTAGGCTATTTCAAATATAATAAATAAGTAACTGCTAGAAGCATATATAATACATTACATACACATATTGAGTTCAAAAAGTATGATATATGTCAATGAAGTTGCAAACATCTTAGCATTCATAAATCCTAAATTACTTAGAAATACTCTTTAGTTTCATGAGCAAAACAAAAGATGTTATTAATGATTAAAACATCTTAAGTCAAAACATTGAATCAAAAATAAGGTTTTAGTTTAAGAGTTTAAGCCTTGATATATTAAGTCAAACTGTTCCACTTCCAAGCTGGGTCAAGGTGTTTTCATGTGGGATTAAACATGGCAGTAGACTCCATACGAGATAATAAGAAGAAGAAAAGAAGACTCACTGCAGGTCTGTAGCAAAAGTTGGAGAAGAAGATGTTGCAGCAGAAAAAACTACTGAGAAGAATGAAGGAAGAGGAGGACAGCACGTGTAGTTGTTGGAGAAGAACCAATCGCAGAGCAGAAACAGGGCTTTCTTGTAGAAGAAAGCATCGCAGAGCATAAAAAAAAATGCGCCAAAAACTGGAGTCATGAGTTTTTACGTACGTGCAAGGGTTTTAAGTAGTTAATATTTTGTTTTAAAAGTCTAGTTTACCCCTTCTATACCTCTGCGCTAAAAAATTTTAACGCCAAAAACCCTCGCAACCCTTTTACCACAAATCTCGCTGCTATAGCGGCCGCGAAAACCTTCTCCGCACCAATGCTATAGCGGGCGCTATAGCCGCTACACCCAAACGCCACGCTACGGCCCTCCTGGTAGCGCCTTCCATGTCTGCCGCTTCGCTAAACCGCTATAGCGCGCTATAGCGCCGCTATTAACATCACTGGTTGAAATAAATCAATACTTTTTCATAACCTTAGGCTATAATAGTCATGTGAGCCCATTTGTAAAGGGTTATTTGGCTGAAGTAGTTGAATTTGCTGATACTTCTGAAGGAGAAGCATCTGGTGAAACTGTTCTCAGCCATATAAGAAAAGGCAACTTAATCTGCTTATTTTGATCATTATGCTGAAGAATAAAGCCTATTAATGCTTCCAAATGGGGTCAAATTTTTCTTAAAACGGTAAAGCAAAAGGAGTAAGTATCAAGAACCGAACATTGAGAAAATGACGTTCAACATAATACATATGAATATCCAAAAATGAAGACTAACACAAGGTGAAAATATAGTGCGAAAAAGTATTCCCACAATCCCACCACAATAATGTAACTGAATCTTTAAGGTACCTGAATTTCCAGATGTGATATTCATTTTATAGCCATCTGGAACATCAAATACATGATTACCCTGCATATCAAGGCCTAACATAAGACCAAGCCAGAAATCACTCTCAACTACAACTATGGTATGTGGTAGTGTTACTTCCATTCATATATTTTGAGTTAAAAGGGAAGTTAAAATGCAATTCCAAATCAACCTCACCTGTAGAATAACATCCACTGCTTCAAATTCTGCATTTCCATGCAGCATCACCGTCACAGATTCAGCCCTTTGCACATCATGCTTCCAGTATAAGTTGTCTCTTGAGTACCAATCAACGCCATCATTTATGACCTTGACGTTCTTGAGCTTACATCTGCTACATCTGCTCACAGGAAATTGTTCTGTACAGTACTGTTTTGAATGTTGTTTAGTGTTGAGTATTCAACATCAGTTGTGACTATGTTTTAGTCTAGCATAGAAGAGTGGCAAATCTCCTTTTAAGGAAACTTTTGGTAGGTATGAGTTAGACTTAGACCCAATTTAGCATTGTATCAGAGCTTGGTCAGATTCCTGTTTGTGGGGTTCCCACTTATTCTAGGATTTGAATCTAATACGTATATAACTGTAAGAAAATTTAACCACTATGATCTTTCTAGGGTGAACGTGATTGAGAAGTCCAGAGGACCCTGCAGAGTAGAATACCTCATTCCATACTGTAGCACAGCTTCACCATTTTTATCTTGCATTGTTGAACCCAAAACATTCTCAGCCAAAATAATCAAACTTCCATCAAGCTGAAATGTGAAATAAATTAGGTAAGGGATAATTTAAAGGGGTGAGGGTGTTAATGAGTCTCATTTCTGACCTGGACATCTTTCCAATAAAACTCAGAAACCTCTATTTGTAGCTCTGAGCCTTCAGAGATTGAACCCCCATGAAACTGATAAAACAAGGAGAGAATCCAATTGAAGTTTTTATGCCCACAATTTCTCCATTGTGATTTTTTAATAAAAAGAAATTAACCACAGAGAACAGCTTATATTAAATAAATACAATTGGCATAATTAATTAAATATATAACTAAATCAAACAATATATTAATTAGTCAATGAAAATACAAAAGGGAAGAGCGCAGAGAGTCAGTGAAGTTAGATAAAGGTCATAGTAGCACTGCTATTTGACTTACTTTTTGTCTAATAACTTCCCAAAGAGGTCCCAAAGCAGGATGAAGAAGTACAAGAAATGGTGGTCCAGCAGCCACATACTTATCATCACCCTCAATCTACAGACATAACAAAAAATGGAAAGAACTAATAAATTGACGGTCCAAGGCAAAACAGAAAAATTTAGAAAACATAATGCACTATAGCAAGTGAACCTTTGCAGAATTGAAGAAATATGATTTGGTACATTCAGCATAGAGACTTTGTATATACCTGTGGAATACGAATCCCACAATGAGAAAGAATATCATAGGCATTACGCATCATATCCAACAGGGCACCATCTGGAGTCTGCAGTAAACAACTTCCTGTCACCATGCATCACGTCTATTTGTAGAATTGAGCAATGCATCAGACTAAAGAAGTCAAAAGAAAACCTGCAATCTTAAGGATATGTTTGGACTACGGAATTGCAGAGGGAAAATTGACAAGATTTATTTTCTTATTTTTGGTTTTACCATGGAAAATGCAAAGGAAAATGGAACCATGATTAACACTTATAAATTTTTGGAGAATTTGATGGCAATGAATAATAATACCAACTATGGCAGGTCAACTTTAAATAACCCCATTCTTGATTACAACAACAACAACATCCAAGTCTTAATCCCATAAGATTTTGGGGTCAGCTAACATGAATCGATCTATGATCCAATTATTGATTGTTTCAAAATAATCCCAATCATTGCACAATTTTTGCAAAAAACTACCTGTTGTTTCAGTTTAAAAAATTACTATGTGCCACTCTCACCTTGAAATTCATTAATAGCAAATAACAACTACTATTAGTCTGGGGCACAATCGGATAGACTCAAGTGAGCCTCTAAACAATAACTCAGTTGAACTCGGACTGGAGCGTCGAAGATTCGTGTTGAACTCTTCTTTTCGGGAAACAAACAGAGTTCATTGGCGCTCACACTGGCTTATCTTATAGGGAACTAATGGATTTGAAACTCATTTTCCATCGCATGCCAAAACTTCAACCAAGTAATGGGAGTGTGTTGGGAAGATTGACCCCACAATTGAGATTATTTTGAAACAGCCCAAAATGGATCATTGCAGGCTGCTCTATGTTGGAACTGTTGTAATCAATTTAACCTATCATTTTTACATATGTTTAGATTTGTTAGTCATTATATTAGGGATTGAAAAATATATTCAGTTTTAATAAATTTTAAAATTAAACTTATTGAGTCCGAAATTCCAAATGATACTACTTTCCCTCAAATTTTCTCTTCCAAAAAATTTTCCTTATACTTTCCACTCAATTTTCATTGCCAAGCATTTTATGAGTTCTGAAGGGGCCGTTAATATGCATCTATGTTAATGAATTTCATCACCAAGGTATGACTAAAAATTTGAAATACTGGAACAGCCACAAAGCATGGTAGAAGCATCTTTATAAAAAAAACTAGAGACAAAACTTACTATATTAAAATTATTAAACTCAAACCTGACGTAGAGAATTGGCAGCATGTGACCTTTTCTTCTTAGCAGATGATGTAACTTTCTTTCTTTCATTATATACGATAAAAGTATCCAGCCCATCTGCTGAAAAGATAAAGCAGTTTGCATCAATGTTTCATGCAAATGCTGAATAACATTTTATCAGAATATTCACTACGCTTACCTTCTGCACTTTCATAACATCGTGATGAAAATATACTGGTAAAATTATCAGCAATGTTTTGCATTGTGCATTCAAGACGACCTCCAGGTACGCTATAACAAATTTAATGTGTTAGCAAAACTATCATTATGACTATGAGTTGCCTGGATGATAAAAGCATGCATATAAATATAAAACCACAGTAAAACAGCACAATGAGAAGCCAATAGTATACAGGTACTATAATAAGCATGATGGAACAATGCTTTCAATGAAAAAATAAAATTGTAAGCAAATAAATACAGATTAGTAAACAAGTTTTCAACCAACTATTGTCAATTTAACAACTATGACAAACTAGTGCAACCCAACGGAGTCAGATAAAAAAAAATGAAAATCCAAATAAGTACCTATGACTGACTCCAAACTGGTCCCTGAAGAGAACTGGTTTCTTTACATTAAGAACCATCCCTGGCAAACATTTCTCATCTTTACTGGACCCAACAATCTCAGCAGATGGTAAATCAACGTACAAAATATTTGTATTAGCAGGAAATTCGGCCTGCAAACTTAACAAAAGAAAGATGGAATATACAAGTTAAATACATTCCTTGACCTTCAACAAGTATATCATATAGGTAAACATTTTATATACCTGTTAGGTGGAAGAGGCTCATCCCTGATTCCAAACTTGTCAAACTCAGTATATTCAATACAGGATAGGCCACATATCCAATTACCATTCAGGCTTTTCCTTTCAATTAAAACATTAATACCTTCAGTAGCTCCAGTACTTCGCTTACAAGAGGCAAAGCCCAATTTCTGAAAGAAAGGTGTGTGGTTGTAAAACACACAACATAGTCTTAAAACATCTTCTCTGACCTAGACCAACCATTGATTGTCAAGGCATGGCAAGCCAACAATGTTCCATCACTCTTTTCAGATGAAAATGTTAGGAGTGTTGTTGGGGTATGGCCTTGACAGATTCTATCCAACAGAGCTTTGTCCTAGACCAAAACCCTAGAGGCTAGAGAGACTCGATCTTGTCAAAAATTATGACCCTAGGCAATCTTGAATTAATATGCCGTTATTAATGAAGTTAGACCCTTTTATACTACTCACAGATACTAATGAGCAAGCAAATAAAGTTCCAATCTATTACATTATTGCTATTAGGGAAAAAGCTAAAATAGCACTATATGGGAAAGTAGTACTAATATAAAAATAATAATACTAATAATAATAACAATAGGAAACCAATACTAATACTTGTGCTAATGTAATAACAATGCTGGCTTGGTTCCCAGGCATCCACAAGCCTGTGCCAGAACACTAATTTCATTTGCAAGGAAGAGAAAAACAAGGAAGGAAACAAGAACCCGTTTGGTGATCTTGTTTTTTGGCTTATCAGGTTATCAACCAACTTTTTCACCAAATTGATTACGCGCATTGAATTGTGTAATAATAAGAAAAAGTAAGGTTGAAGTTACTTTTAGGGTTGTATTGGCTAAAGGTACTTTAGAGGTGCATTTTAGCTTTTTATTCATATAATTTTTTCTTTATTTCAGCAGAATCAACCAATCCAACCATTTCAGCTAGAACTTCATAAATCTCAACAGAATCAACCGATTCAGCCGATTTTGATATTACCAAACTGGCTCCAAATGTCTCACTTCCCGTATCATTTTTCCTTATCTGTGTGAGTTTTTGTTTGATTTTCTTTAAAATAAGCATTTGAGACTCCAAGAATTCAATACATGCATCAAACTATTTTGGAAGCGACACCTGCCTACAAAATGGAGCCCCACTGCGTAATACCTAGATTAAAAGCCAGATATTGTCTCTTCTTACCTTTCCATAGTGCAAACCTATTCCTGCCAATGCCAAAAGGGTTAAATCGGTAGCCGCCGCCACATTACTGGAAATACGCAAAACAACATTTAAGTATTATTGCAATCAGTATCACCATTCAACACAATTATTAAAGTCATTATTGTAAGAGCTATAAGATGAAGGTTACCTGACTTGACGGACAGTTGCCCCTCTCCTTCCACGATCATGGAACCACTGGAAGACACCTTTATCATAAGCTAGTTTCCATATCACACCATGACCGCCAGGCTTGCATACAGGCAAGAAAGGTCCAGAAGTTAACCACTTCCCATCCTTCGCGTTAACGGCTGGTACAAGAGGCTAGAGATTGACAAGTTATATCACAAAATGCACAATCGTGTTTTAAGTAGAAAAAGTATAAAATCCAAAATTTCTTGTCAATACCTGTTCAAAAAGTATAAAGTTAGACCTCCCTCTTCCAAACCAGCTATGGCTTTCACACAAACGCATGATACACTCATGATTGTTCTTGGCAGAGCTTGTCATTATTGCAACTGGAGTGATGCACTGATTTCCATACACCTTATAATACAGGAACTCTCTAGCCTTGCACACAAATTGGTTTTAGGTTAAATATGACTTACATTATATGTTTATAATGTTCTACCAGGAATGGTAACCTCACCTGGATATCTCTTATTAGGCCTTCCAAAAGTGTACGTCCACAGAATGGAAGCATCGCAGCAGGAAGACATTCACCTGTATAAGGGTCAACCAAACCTAGCCTGTCACCTGAACCTCCAAGAGGGTAAATTTCCCCCAAGTCTGGCAAACCCTGGCGATGAATAAAGTTAAAATAATCCCAATTCTACCATAAATAATATTAAAACATGAACGAGTTTATTCCATTCACTAACCTCTAACCCCCAAAGTGCTGCTTGAGATGCATATTCTACATCTTGAGAAAGATCAAGTGCACAGGGAGGATGAATTTCGGCAATTTCGCATTTCAATGTTTTATTTGTGTGGGTGGACCAACTGTTTGTCTGTCTTTCCAAAGTGGACTCTAGGAGAAGATCAAGGACCACTATCTGATATCTGCAATCCATCATAATTCAATATGTCGTTTCAGCTTATAGTCTGCATAACCCTAGAAAATTACTGTATCTGATTAGCTGTTGATATCATGAAAGGTATAGAATTCATGTGACAACTGATCTGAATAAAGTTAATGTGTTTACAACTTCCTACTATATTTACTCAAACAAAAGCCTAAATGATATTATCAAGAAACTAAATGTTTCAGCACATAGATGCTTATATAGAACCGGAAAATATGCAGTTTCAAGCAACTAGACGGAGTACAAAACATGATAAAAAAGCAAGTCATAAACCATCAACTGTTTAATATGCCCACATTTGACGTCCATATTGCAATTCCCATCCACCCCCTATCCAAATACTCATCTTGGAAATAAAATGCTTAGCAAATGAACAAGATTGTAATCATTATAGATATAGAATCTCAAGTATACAAATTTAGACTAACTTAAACAGAGGCAGACAATAAAGTTATCTAAATGGTGAGTTCCTGTCCTGCAAATTCAGAGAAAAGTGGAAATACCCAATTATGCCCCCAATGCAATCATAAAATTGTTCAATCTCTCCAAGAGACTTCAACAACGACCCCAATGCCCTAACCTCTTCTTCTCCCAGTCCAGAGCCCACAGCAGCAGACCTGCTACCGCAATCATCTCCATTCACTTGACATCTCTCAATCATCTCGGCCAGAGTATATAGCGCTGTCTTGAGAGAGCTGCGTTTGATGTCAAACTCGCCACCGAATTCCCCCAAAACATGCTCTTGCCCAGCAGCCACCATACATTTAAGTAAAAACAAATCATACTTATCCAAATTCAGAGCGCCCAGAAACCTGCTGAACCCACTGTGGCGGGAGCAGAAAAAAGAGCACACTCGAGGATCCGAGTCAAGTGTTCTCAGCTTACCTTCCAAATTCGTGCAATTAGAAAGCTTTGACCCTAAACCCTTTAGTCTGGCGATTTCCTGGCGGAAGTCGATGTCTGGAGCTGGAGAGACATATTCTACCGGCACCGTTGACACTCGCGATACACGAATTAGCGGCGGCGGCGGTTGCACTGAAAAATGTCCCGGCGAGGAGAAATGAGTGGAAGAACCCCACCCAGCCCCACAATTGAAGTAGCTGGACGAGCTGACTGCGGAAGAGGAATTCAAAACGGATTGCTTATGGTTGGATCTTAAGAGAATGTTGCTTTGCAGGGGCAATGGAAATGCAGGGGCCATTGGAGATAACAGCAAATACAGTCTCTGTATTTCCTTAATTAAAGTACTGAAGATGTTCTAGATTCAAGAATCTTTAGATGGAGAATGAAAGGAGTCCGGAGTATCATCAGGCAGAGATGCCGAAACTGAAAGAATATACTGCTGGGTACCAAATTTGGCGGTTGGGGAGAAGTGAACGGATTTAAATGGTGGGAAATGTTATCTATTCGTTCTGATTTTGATAGGTTGGCTTCATTCTCCCGTGTTTGAGTGTTTCCACTGTGATTCTCATATCATTACATTATTTTACTTCTTCCTTAAAATTTTGCTAATTTTATTTTTTTGTTGTGTCACTAATTTTGTCACTTTTGTTTTAAAGTAGAAATAATTATTTAAATATGATCAAAATATAGATGGTTTACAAAAAATCATAGTAATTCATATTCAAGTTTTGAGCTTAAGTTACCACAACACCACATTGTAGTAATGAATAGTCATATTTATGTAAATATGTTTTAGTTTAGTAATATTCTTGTAAATAAGAATTTGTGATTCCAGATAACTCTATTTTCTCTGCACATTATTCAATTACACAACTTTACCTTATTAATACTCGTGTCTGTCAAATTATTTGACCAAATTTTAAGGGACGGAGGGGAGTAATCTTTAAGGTAACCCATGTCCCCATTATCATTTTTTTCTCCACCAACATTGTCTCTATACACTTTCTCTCCACATTTTTTACACATCAGTGGCGATCTTGGACATTAATTTTGAAGGTTCAACTTTATTTTATACATATTCATATACATATATAAATTTTAAGACAATCACTCAAATTCATGCGTTTTTACACTAGTAGTTACTTTGTAAAACTTTTGGGTGTTCACATGAACACTTTGGAACAAGTATAGATCCACCCCTCATACACACGTCCGATTTTCTCACAAAGAATTCTTATTTATAAAATGAAGCTACATGCATTATACACACACACATATATATGAACAAAATCACTCCATAAGTGTATCTAATAGACATTAACATATTTTTCAACTTATAGGGACTAATTACACACAAGTGCACACGCAATTTAAGGTGGGTGGCTTATATTAATCACACATTACTCTTGATTTTATTCACAAATTTTTATCTATTTTCTAACTTGACAGAAACGAACAAGTTGTAAAAAAAATTGTGAAATGTGTGCAAGTGGGTAGAGAAAGACTAGCACACATAAATCAATGTAGATCTATAAAAAAAAATCAAAGGTTTATTTGTGTGAATTTTGACATTTTGCATCTACCCATGAGCATGCAAATTAATTGTCACCACCATTTTGGCCTGCACGGGTCTTTTCCCAACCCCGGTGAGCTTCCCGAAGGTCATACCCTACAGAGAAGGCAGAGCTAAGTTATAGGGGGAGAAAGTGTCTATAATATATAATTTTCAACCCCTAAGAACTTCCTAATCAAATGTATTTGTAATAAAAATAAATGAGAAGTGAGCTTAATTCATGTTCACTCGTTACATTTATATATTTATATGGGTGCAGATCCTTCGGTGAGTGTGCTAGCCACGTACACATTACAACATCATTAATGCTAGCATAGCTACTTTGGTGATTGTCATGCTTACTCTTTTGTTGCTCCTTATCATATGGTTGTTCTGGAACCAGGTGTCCGTTGATACTTGTTCTTCGGGAGTTTCCATAACCTCAGCTCGAGGTCTATGCAGTTAGGTGACGTATAGACCTCTCTTTCCCAGGTGAATTGTGTCGAGAGTACCTCAAGTTATATGCTGGATTTGGGTCTAAGATGTCTTTATTTGGATGATGTTATGGACTCGAGCTCGCTTATATACACTATCAAGACTTCACTATAGAGCTGTGTGATCATTCAATCATCTCAAACCAAAAAAGAAAATACAAAGGTTATGGATATTTGATTTGTTTTTGTGACAAACCACTCAACCGTGTAGTGGCAAATCACTTATATTGCCTTCTATAAATAGGCTATACATTTATAACACTCTATTATATAGTTTGTATGTCTCACATATAGTTTTTAGCCTAGTTTATACAAAAATTCTTAGCTTATAGTCCTTGTTAGAGCAAGGATTTGACGGTTTATGTTGCATCAAAGAGGATTGACCGCATGAGTTAATGAGGCATTCACAAGGCTTAATGATAATTATTGTAACATTTTTTATGCATTATTACTCTCTTTAATGTGATTAAGGAAGATATTAATTGTAATTGACCAACCATTATGGCATATTCGAAATTGCCATAACAAATGGCCAATCTGTCAATAACGGACGACACAGTCATGTGAGCATTAACTACTCTTCCTATAAATAGGACATCCCCTATTGTACCATAACGGCTACACATTCGAATAATACACTGAACTTCACTCTTATTTGCTCACTTGTCATCTTTTTCATTGTTCTTGTATGGGACCCGTTCTTCATATAATTTTCTTTTTTAAATTAGTTTTAACTTATCAAAATTTTGCTTACACAATTTGGCGCCCACCGTGGGGCCTCATGCAAAAAAACCATCATCCATGGAAGGTCATAGCTCAACGTCAATGGCGAGATTCAAGATGGAATCGAAAACTATGAAGGAAGAAACGAAACATATCGTCTTGTCGACTGATCATATATATACCAACCGTCACCGATGGTTTCATCTCATCGAACTCAACGACACCTTATGGACTTAAGAATGCAGGGGGCAACTTTCGATGGCTAGTCACGATGGCGGTCAAAAATCAAATTGGGAAAACCGTAGAAGTGTACCCACACGATGTGATGATGGTTTCATCGAAATATATCTCTGAAGTTTTCTTATGTGGTTGGATATATAGGCGCATTTTCGGAAGCAAGGCAATCGGTAAGTTCTACTCAAATCAGAAATCCTTCGAAAACCGCCACAAGGGGGCAATATTTCACGAAAAACTTGTTTTGATTCCAAAACTGCAAATACTGAAGCCGAATATGAAGAACCCATTACGAGTCTCACCATTGTCAAAGAGTTCAGGTAAGTAACATCTCCTTTTTTATTATGAATCAAACTAATCGTGTATATGTAGCAAAGAGTCCAAAAATGATGTCAACCTTGACATAGTCAAAATCGTGGCGGCTTGATTCAACGAACGTACCATCCAACGAGTCTCAAGGGAAGAGAACACGTAGGCCGACGATCTACCGGTTTTAGGGACGTGTTGGGTCTTGAAGTCAACGGAGACATCACATTGGTGCATTTGACAAAATCAACGGCCGACAGGGTTGATACAGTCAACAGTGTCAAATTATTTACAGACGAGTCAAGCATGGAGCCATTTTCAGAGCCTAAAGTTGTACTCCGTATAAGGTAATAAGTAAATTTATTATAGATGACATATTGCTCAAAACGTCAAAGGCAGGATCGTGTCACAATCGCCTTCCACCCGATGAAGCAAATAGATTTCTTCAAAGTGTTGATGACGGGGGGCACAAGATATCCGATTCATGACCAAATGAACGAGTCGTGAAACTAGGACATAATGGCTCAACGTATTTCTTGAAGATCCAAGATGACAGACATGTTTTGACATGTCTGAATGTAGGACAGAATGTTTCAACGAGATGCTTCAAATCATCGGACAAAGGCATATTGGTTGAAAGTTCAAGACGACATACAGGTTTTTGACAAGTCGAGATATAGTACATTTAAATTTGTTTCATTCTTAATTCACTGCTTTATTTTGCATATAAACAATAACTAACTTAAGCATCGGAGGGCCGTTGGCTTCTAGCCAATGACCAAATTTAACAAATCTATCTTACACAGGTATAATCAACAATTGACGATGACAAAATCCTAACATACATCAAACAAAGCCTTACAACACGTCAAAACGTACACAATTGACGGGGGGCTTACAGAATTTCAGGGGAAGAAGTGGGATTTTCATGTACGTTAAACATGAGTATAAACGCCACCGATTCTCCGCAATGTTTTGGCCAAAACTACAGAAATACACAACAGAAGCATATGCTCCAAGAGCAGCATGACAACGAACATCTCCAAGACATAAGGAGACCATACGAAGAACATTGTCATAAATAATAAACATTCATGTCGAAAATATTGCTAAAACTACACATGAAATAGTATTCAAATTTTTTGCAGGATATCGATTACATTCATGCAACCCAACCTGTCATCTCTAGCAACAGACGAAGTTCCCTTTGCCAACCGAAGTGTCAACATCACTGTGGACAAAGTTCCCTTTGCCAATCGAAGTGTCAACATCAATATGGACGAAGTCCTAATTCATTGTCTTTTAGTCATCAGCACAGTCTTGAAGGAAAGGAGATAAGCTGTCAACTTTCATTCTTCATTATTTTAAGCAATCTTGACGGATTCGATCGGGAGTTACTAGAAAGAAAGACAGAATCATTTCATCAAACGAGTTGATCAATACGTCATGACAAGTCATTGACAAGTGAATAGGCGCAATGAACCAAGATGCGAAGTATAAGCTCTTTCAAAATTTCGACAAATTGCCGCTTAATGGTCCGACCCATGCATCGTACGCGTCAACTTCTCAAAACGGGGCAATTGTTAGAGCAAAAATTTGACGGGTTATGTTGCATTAGTGATGATTGATCGCAGGAGTTAATGGGGCATTCACAAGGCTTAATGATAATTATTGTAACGTTTTTGTGCATTATTACGCTCTTTAATGTGATTAAGAAAGGTACTAATTATAATTGACCAACCTTTATGGCAAATTCGAAATTGTCATGACGGATGTCCAGCCCGTCAGTAACAGAGGAACCAGTGAATAATACACTGAACTTCACTCTTATGTGCTCACTTGTCATCTTTTTCATTTTTCTTGTACGAGACCCGTTCTTCATATAATTTTCTTTTTTAATTAGTTTTAACTTATCAAAAAATTTCTTAAACAGTCCTTAAACTAGTGGCGGAATCAGAGATGTCATGTTAGAGAGGTCAGGGTCTAAAAAATTTATATTGAAAGTCAAGATCAAGCTTTAAATTTCAATATATTTTCTAACAGTATATTTTATAAATATTTATAAGTATATGTACATAAAAAAATTAAAAGGGCGAGGCAAGACCCCTTCAGCATGTCCATGTCTTCACCACTGCCTTAAACATTACACTTTAAAGTTTAATATCATTTGGTTAATAGTTTAATATCATTT